TTGTCTGAAAACAACCTTTTAAAATTTCAGCTTTCTAGCTTTTTTGGTTTTCGAGTTAACAACTTACCCGCAGAAAACATTCGTGTATAGGAACCACACACGCCCGGGGACTGGTTGTGAACTCATTAAGACCTACGTGGACGTGGAAAATTCCTTAAGATTTCAATCTTCTATCTTCTCAGGTTCCCAAGTTTGCAACTTCCCCGAAAAAAATTTTCATGGGCCCGCACGTGGGTACCGTGCAAGTAAGAGTGCCTATTTTAGAGATTAGGGCCCGTGCACACATGAAGATTAAGTTCCCAACTTTTTAGTGCTGCAGCTTTTTTAGGTCTCGAGATGAAAAATTGGTACAGAGGCCCTGCGCACACACAGACACACACAGACAACCTCTTGTCAGTATGCGTTTTCCGCACTGCATAGGTAGAAAAAACGCATAAAAATTATGTACTTTTCAACCAGCTGTGAAATATTTCCCACACACACACACATACACACACATTCTCTAGGATCTGTTTCTAGTTTTGTACATTTTTTGACGCTGTTTTATTGCTTAATAATTGCGAGATTTTTGCAGGTTCGGTTTTTTGACTTTTTTTTTTTCAGGACAGCTGAATTATCAGAATACTGGTGTACAGCAGGCTTACGCGCAGGGACAACAGAATAACAATTATCGCAATGGTAACCGCGGAAGCGTCTATGCTCGGGGCGGCGTCAGCTATCAGCGTAACAGAGGAGGAGGAGGAGGAGGCACAATTGGCAAACCACAGTCGAAGGAAAAACTGAAATTCGAAAGTGACTACGATTTCGAGAAGGCCAACGAGCAGTTTCAGGAAACGTTGAACAGCATCACCAACGATCTCAAGAAAAGCAAACTGGAAGGTGTTTGTTCACTCCTCCTCGATAAATTTTTCAGCTTAATTTCCCTCTCGCTGTCTGCGTTTTGCCTTTTTTTTAGCATCCAGCTTAATTGACGCAAAATTCATAGTGATCTTTGTACAATTTAGAAGCAATTTCTAGGCTGAGGCATAATTTTGAAAAGAATTTGAGTAGCAGATGCCAGAGCTACATAGATTGAAATGTATAGCCATCCAGAATTAGAACTACTGGAACATTGCTGAATTGGTCCTCGGGTGTATTCGTCAAAAAATAGAACTACTGGAGGGAAACACAGGATTTTTCAAGGGTTCTTTGAAAAAAAAAGGGGGGGGGGGGAAAGGGCTCTATCTCTCCGGATTTCTGTTTTGTATTTTTGCATCACTGCTATGCCGTCCGACCATTTTCTTGCGGGAACGAAGGTAACAAGATGGGAAAAAAAAAGAATTTTTTGCCCCCATCTAATAAATGTAGACACCAACTTCTTAGAGGAAGCTGACTATGAAGGGGGCACCACAAGAACGGGGTGGGAGGAGGACATAGGAATAACTTTTGGGGAAGGGAGGGAGGTGTTTCTGGTGGATCAGTGTTACTAGGGATATTGTTCAGGGAGCAGCGAGGTAAAAAAAGGAGTTAATATTTTTTGCTTTGTTTTATGGCTTCAGCCCGTGCTGATTAGATCATTACAAGAAGCGTACTTGTGTTTAGTATATGGTTTTTGCGGGATAAAATTAAATTTGTGGGATATCCCAAATGTGCGGATTTGCGGGATGAAATTAATTCTGTGGGATATCCCAAATGTATCGGTTTGTGATGTTGTTGTTTTTTATTCCTGCTACTTCATCTCTGCTCAGATGGAAACAAGAAAACCGGCGGTTCTGATACGGGAACTGAGGACGCTGAAGTTGGATCAAATGATAGTGGGCGAGAGTCGGAACTGCCATATTACGATAAAAGCTCGTCATTCTTCGATCGAATTTCTTGCGAGGCTCTTGAAAAGCAGGAAGGGTATGTGACTCCTCCTTTTTATGCGTTTTTGCCGTACAGCACTTGAGCGCCGCAGCAGGCAACAAAAACGCATATTGCAACAACCTATGTATGTGTGTTTGTTCGACAGTTCGGGTATTTTTACTTGGCAACCATGCAAGCTTTGATGCTGGAATTATGCCAGTGTGTCCCTTGGCCAAATGCGACCTCAGGAGCGTGATATCAACTGACTCGCACGCCTACGTCTCGCGTAGAGGCGCATGAAAGCTTTGGCGGGAAAATTGCTAACTCGAGAACGAGAGAAGCTAGAAAGCTGAAACGTTAACAAAATTTTCCCCATTCATATACGGCCGAAACTTTCCAAGTTTATCTGCTTGGGACAGTCCGAGTTTCACGTACGAGCAAAGTTTTGGCAGAAAAATTGCGGACTCGAGGACCAAAAAAGCTAGGAAGCTGAAGTTTCAAAGGGATGCCCCCTGCTTATAAAGGATTTCAAATTCAATTCCTTAGAACCATTTAGGATTCACGTGAGGAAAGGTGAAAATTTGGGCAGGGAAACTGCTAACTTGAGAATGAGGAGTGCTGGAATTTTAAGGGAATATCATCCACTTATGTGCGACTAAAAGGTCTTTTTCGTGCACCAGCAACTTTCTGTTCGTCGGATCACTGAAGCCAATACTTACAACTGATACACCACACAGCTGCACAGTTAACTTCCTTAACTTCAGGGGCCAGTATGTCACAAAATCCAACTACTATAATCCTTTGCGATCTTGCTACAGCACGAAATATTGCAGAAACGTATGATCGCACTGCCCCCCC